TACATGCAAATTTTTACTAATTATTTCATACATAATGACTTTCTATTGATTTATATGCTGATGACACAATGTTATACGTTCTTGTGAAATCAAATGCAAATCCAAGCAATGTGTAGTTTTAAAGTTTTTTTGGGAAACTTAACTCAGAAATATCCTTACTATCAGATCACTATCTTAATATCATAATATGTATGATAGTTCTAACTAAAAGATTATCCTCTTTAATAGAATATATGTATTATATGAATTCACACTGAGGCAAATTTTGATGTGAGCTGTATAATGTTGTGCTTTTTTGTCATCTTTGCTGCTAAACAGCTGTGTAGCAACATACAGTTTATTTGAATGGTTGGCTTCAGTTTAGATTGTTTCAGTTTCATAAACCAGAAATTAGTTCAGAAATGTTGCAGATCTTGCTCTTCAATCGTCTGTAGCCCTGCTAATCTGGGTCATGCTTTAGTACTGTCTACCAGACAAAGAGAGCAGTTCATAATCTGTTAGGACAAAAGTTCAAAAAGAAAAGAAAATTCATTCATTTCTTAATCTCATTTTCCTTATCTCTTTCGATCTAATTCCTTCACCACACTATATAAATCCAATTTTGTTGCTTTCATTGTCAGTGTGAGGATTGTTTTGCTTTGTACATCAACATCATCTTTTTCTGCTGCCACAATTTGTATCTTGTTCCGCTGATTCATTGTTTATCTCTTTTCAAGGTTTGATCTCTTGAAAAGGAGGATGAGTAAATAGTAGAATAAGATACAGTTACTCACAAATCCAAAATGTGCAGCATATTTTCTAGTGGGTCATATTATTGATGCAATTTCACCTTGAATAAAAAGTTATTTGTGCCAAAAATATTCCTGGAAATCTTCACTTTTATTATAACTCACTGCAGGGTCTGTAGAACATGGAAGCAGCAGCCTCATATTGTATTATACCATAGTCAACTGTTTAGTGCAAAGCTTTAATTCTTAATAAATTAAAGCTGCCATAATGGAATGATTTTCAGCCTGGTGTGTGATCCCTTTAACAGTTGCCTGGTACCCTGCATGAAAACATTATTTTTCCACCCTCAGGCTTTTCCTGCTTGGAATTTGAATTTTGTAATTGAAGAATTAATGAAGTCCGTAATCAAGCAATTAATCAGTAGTTACTGTAATAGCCTGCTTGTTCTTAAGTGAAGAGCTTTCTGTTGCAGATTAGGCTGTGTATTGAACATACTATATAGAAACAGAACATACTGTAATCTCACAAAAGCATTTATGAAGATGATTTATTTGATTCTGTTCAGAAATCAGTTGTCATGCTAATGCTGTTACACTTGTGTGTTTGTTTGTGTGTGTGTGTGTGTGTGTGTGTGTGTGTGTATCAGCCTATTGTACAGTAAAGTCTTTATCTGTAGTATTTGCCAACACTGGGAAAAAAGGTGTTCTAGACTATTTACATCAACCATTCTCAATTTTTAAATGTCACACACCATTTTCACATTTTATAATTTTCTTAATTTGTTTTTTGTTTATCTTTGATTACCCTGTTAAAATATGACAGCCATTTCCCTTTATTATAACATCCGAACTAAATCCTCTTGTAGTCTCTTATAGGTTTAATGATTACTCTGTTTATAGATTAAAAGCTGTTTGTGTGACAGTCAGAGTTCTCTTCGTGAGAAATTTTGAGATTTTCTATAGCTATTTATAGCCTAAAAACACATACGCCAGTGCTTATCTCTGTCATTTCACTGCAGGTTGTAACTCTAGTTCTTTCTGTGTGAAGTTCAAATTTTTTCTTGAAGGTTCACATTGATTTTCTGAATGTGCTCCAGTTTCCTCCCACATTCAAAAACATTCAGGTCAGATGGATTAGAGACTCTGTAAATGTTTCTCTTTATCTGTGTTAGCTCTGTGACTCACTTCCGACCTGCCCAGAGTGTTTCCCTGTCTTTCATTTAGAGAGGGAAAACAGCTTTCTATGACAGTGATGAAAAAAATATTTAAGAATGAATTGTGACAACTATATGATAATAGAAATGATGTTGAAACTGTCATTGCACTACTCAAATAATGATGTTGTTATACCATCTCAACATTTGCATATGGCAATAATACTGTATATGAATTAGTTTGTGAACACTGCAGCTATAATCTAGTCTTTAACTGTAAATTAGTGAACATATACTTTAGTTCAGTCCCATTAACATTAGTAGGTACTGATAAGTTTGCAGGGGTGTCATACCTGAACACTGAAGATAATGTAATTAGCTATAGTATTTATTTTATGTTAGTAGTGTAATATTAAGAAATGTCTTAATGGATCTATATTTCTACTGGAGGTAGATATTGATATTTAATATTGGAACCCATCTATAAATTTGATCTCAAATCTAATTCTTCTCAGCTGTCTCTATATGACTCTCAGCCAAAGTTGTATCTGCTGGGATTTAAATTCAATCTGAAATGCCATCTAACTAAAATAGAGGTTTTGTCTGTATGTTTGATTGATTTTCTTCCCCCGATCAACTTAACATTTGGCGGGTGAATTGCTGAGGACCCAAGGAAATGTGGTGTCAAGTACAAGCTCTTGATCTATGGGACATACAGTATTTATTAGTTACTACCTGCAAAAGTACTAAGTCGTGCATTGAGGGGGGATCCTTATTAACTGTTTTACCACTGAACAGCATGTCTGGTTCAGCTTGCTGTCTGTCGCTCGCTACTGTACATTCATGAACAGATGAATAAAGAGAGCCTGAAGATGTTACATTGTAGTCTTACTATCTGTATGCACGGAGGTCTGACCATTTCCTCAACAACCGTTCCTCTGATTGACTTCACATTTGGCGGATGTATTGCTCATGACCCACAGAAGTGGAGTGTAATGTGTGAAGTTCTCAACTTGCAAACAGCAATACCAAAGGTCAAGCAATTGGGTCATTCCAAACGGGCACATTTTGAACAGGCACTGCAGAGGTCTCAATAATTTAGATGTACTATATGTTGATGTTCACTTGTAGTGATATATGACTGATTACTGCTTTGCTGTCTTTATGAATTCAATTATTGCTAAGGTCATTCTACATATGTGTATGTGTGTGTGCATATATATATATACATACATATATACACACATATATATATATATATATATATATATATATATATATATATATATATATATATATATAATGTATAGTGTTAGTGAGCACTACTCCTTTTCCGAGATAATCCATCCACCTCACAGGTGTGGCATATCAAGATGCTGATCAGACAACATGGGTATTGCACAGGTGTGGCTTAGGCTGGCCACAATAAAAGGCCACTGGAAAATGTGCAGTTTCACTGTATTGGGTGGGTCCGGGGGTTCTGGAAACCAGTCAATATCTGGTGTGACCACCATTTACCACGCAGTGCAACATATCTCCTTCACATAGAGTTTATCAGGTTGTTGATTGTGGCCTGTGTGTTTGTCCACTCCTCTTCAATGGCTGTGTGAAGTTGCAGTCAGGTCCAGACCCCAATGAGGACGACGAGCATGCAAATGAGCTTCCCTGAGACGGTTCCTGTCAGTCTGTGCAGAAATTCTTTGGTTATGCAAACCAATTGTTGAAGCAGCTGTCCAGGTGGCTGGTCTCGGACGATCTTGGAAGTGAAAATGCTGGATGTGGCTGTCCTTGGGTGGTGCAGTTACATGTGGTCTGTGGTTGTGAGGCTGGTTGGATGTCCCGCCAAATTCTCACTCACTCTCGCTTATGGTAGAGAAATGAACATTCAGTTCACAGTCAACAGCTCTGGTGGAAATTCCTGCAGTCAGCATGCCAATTGCACGCTCCCTCAAAACATCTGTGGCGTTGTGCTGTGTGATTCAACTGCACATTTTCGAGTGGCCTTTTATTGTGGCCAGCCATAGCCACAGCTGATGATGAATGGGGGCAAAAACAAAAGTGCTGCGTTTATAATTTTGTTCAGTATATATACATACATACAGTATCTCACAAAATTGAGTCCACCCCTCACATTTTTGTAAATATTTAATTATATCTTTTCATGTGACACACAGAAGAAATTACACTTTGCTACAATGTAAAGTAGTGAGTGTACAGCTTGAATAACAATGTACATTTGCTGTCCCTTCAAAATAACACATCACACAGCCATTAATGTCTAAACCGCTGGCCACCCACCACAAATTATATTTTAAGGCTTTTCAGGTTTCAGGTTTATTTCTAACTTCACTTCAAGAAGTTGCAGTTTTTCTCTACTGTATGAATGGTACCTTTTTAAACCATTTTTCACTGTACAACAATGAAAACATGAACAAATTTGAGGAATACTGCTATTCAGGTATGAATGAAATAGACATTTGGTCATCATTATTTCGAGTCTCTCTTGCACACAATAAATCTTAATCAAGGAATACATTGTTTGTATTCCCACAGTTTCCTCTGGCAGAGTTACACAAACAAATTCCCCGGCCTCATTTTGGCTTTCTTGTTCGACATCCCAGTCACATACGTGCCTTTGAGGAACTGTGACTTGTAATCAGACGTTTCCTGATATCTCGACTCGACTGAAGGACTTGTGGGTGGCAAGCATCCTTATTATTTATGTCCCCCCAGTCTCAAATATAAATCACATAACACAGCAGTCATAGCTGCTTTTGTTCCCTCCCCTCCTCCTCCTACAGAGATACAGTACAGAAGTCAGCAGCTTCATTGTGATTTTATTTTATGTGACTAAGATTGAGAGTGTGAGGAGGACAGAGCACCCAGAAACAGAAATGGATATAAGGCACAGCATCAAGGTTGCAAGCTTGAGTGTATGCATGTATATATGTGTGATTATTAGTTGCTGCAACAGATCCATAAACCTAAAGAATATCTTTTGGTGAAAATTTAAATTTTCTTTACTTATTATAAGTGACACATGAAAAACATGCATTACACCTGTGCATTCAATTATCTAATGCGTCTCTTCTCTTCTCTGTCTCTCATTTCATTCTAGTGAGCCCAAATCCTCTTTCCAAAGAGTGGAAGACCAGTCAATGAATTATGAATGTTAAACAAGATGACCTCCTCTCAGAAGCAGCAGATGATGCGAGGTCCTAGGTGGAACCGGGCCTTGTCCGACCCTTTGTTTGTGCTGCTTCTGGCCCTCCAGCTGCTGGTGGTGGCAGGGCTGGTACGCGCTCAGACGTGCCCCTCTGTCTGCTCCTGTAGTAACCAGTTCAGCAAAGTCATCTGCACCCGGCGAGGCCTGCGAGATGTCCCAGATGGCATCTCTACCAACACACGCTACCTGAATCTGCAAGAAAATCTCATTCAAGTCATAAAGGTGGACAGCTTCAAGCACCTAAGACATCTGGAGATCCTGCAGCTGAGCAAAAATCACATACGCAAAATTGAGCTGGGAGCCTTCAATGGACTAGCCAGCCTCAATACCTTGGAGCTTTTTGATAACCGCCTCACTACTATCCCAAACGGGGCATTTGAGTACCTGTCCAAACTAAAGGAGCTTTGGCTAAGGAATAACCCCATAGAGAGCATTCCCTCCTATGCTTTCAACAGAGTGCCCTCATTACGGCGGTTGGACCTTGGGGAGCTCAAACGGCTCTCCTACATATCTGAGGGGGCCTTTGAAGGGCTGAGCAATCTGCGCTACTTAAATCTTGGAATGTGCAATCTGAGGGAAATTCCCAACCTTATTCCCCTGGTTAAGCTGGATGAACTGGAGATGTCAGGGAACCAGCTCACTGTCATCCGACCTGGCTCTTTCAAAGGGCTCATTCATTTACAGAAGCTATGGATGATGCATGCCCAGATCCAGACCATAGAAAGGAACTCTTTTGATGACCTGCAGTCACTAGTGGAGCTCAATCTAGCCCATAACAACCTTACCCTATTGCCCCATGATCTCTTCACTCCATTACATCACCTCGAGAGGGTGCACTTGCACCACAACCCGTGGAATTGTAACTGTGACATCCTCTGGCTAAGCTGGTGGCTTAAGGAGATGGTACCAGCAAACACGAGCTGCTGTGCCCGCTGCAGCTCACCCTCCAACCATAAGGGGCGATACATTGGTGAGCTGGACCAGAACTACTTTCACTGTTATGCTCCTGTTATTGTGGAGCCTCCCGCAGACCTAAATGTGACAGAGGGAAGCGCTGCAGAGTTGAAATGCAGAGCCAGCTCCTTGACCTCAGTAAGCTGGATTACACCCAATGGTTCCATCATGACACACGGTGCATACAAGGTCAGAATCTCTGTGCTGAATGATGGCACTCTGAACTTTACCAATGTTACCATGCAGGACACAGGTACTTATACATGTATGGTGAGTAATTCTGCAGGTAACACAACAGCATCTGCCACACTCAATGTGTCCTCTACAGAGAATAGTAGCTTCAGCTACTTCACCACAGTGACAGTGGAGACCATAGAAACGCCACATAATGAAGGCTTCACCACTACTGTGCAACAGAAGGTGGGCCCCACCCCCTCTGCTGGTACGTGGGAGTCTGTTTCGCCCACCTCTACAACTACCACCACAGTCCGGATCCCACTCTCCACTCGCGCCACAGAGAAGACTTACACAATCCCTGTCACAGAGCTGGGTGGGGAGGGCTCACTGAATGGCTTGGATGAAGTAATGAAGACAACCAAGATCATAATTGGCTGCTTTGTTGCAATCACACTCATGGCAGCTGTCATGCTGATCATCTTCTACAAGATGCGCAAACAGCACCACCAGCAGAACCAGCATGCACCTACACGCACCATTGAGATCATCAATGTGGATGAGGACTGTGTAACAGGAGGCCCAGGCATGGAGGGCCACCTGACTCTGCCTCCTCTTGAGCACGAGCACCTAAACCATTATAACACCTATAAAACAGCATACAACCATGCCTCCACTATCAACTCCATACACAGCTCAGCGCACGAACCTTTGTTAATCCGGGCCAGCTCAAAAGACAATGTACAAGAGACCCAAATCTAATCCTTTTTTTTTTTCAAAACAAGACATTATAAAGCTGATGGAATTACATAAAGACATTACTGACTGGAAATTACTGACAACTGGTTGCAAGGACTGTGGCTCAAACGTGAGGTTTAGAAACGTGGTGTGGCAAATCAGTGACTGGTGATGTTTATTCAATGACTTTGGGAATTAGGGTATGTCTACTGTTTCAAAAAGTGTCTTTACAAAACAGAAGTTATTTATTTAAGAAAAAAAACTAGTGTGGTTAAATCAAGAAAAAACTGTATTCTGCAATTATTTTTTCAGCATTTAATTAATTTTTTTTCTTCTATTCATTTCACAGGATTGGTTTACTAATATGCTTTCAAACTCTGTTTGAAGACATATGTCAAAGACAAACTCCTGAAGCAAATTATTGTTCTGTTTTTGGTAAACTGCAGACTTTAGATCCGATGAGATAGTAACCTCATTTTCCCCATGTATCAAAGGAATCTAGAGCACATTAGTGATGTTCTCCAGCTGTGGATTAAGTGATGAAATCTTTTGTGACCATCTGTAACTGAGATGAATTAAACACTTGTTCATTATTTTACAGTGAATGACAGAACTGTCAGTGATGAAATTTGATCATAATTCACAGTTTAATTATATCTGTCACATACATAGTAGCCACTCTTTGCTCTGTCATCAATAGACTGAGGGGAATATGCCCTACCTTCTGATATTGTAAAAGTTGAGTCTCACTGTTAGAAGTGCATTTTAGCTAAATTAAATTCTATTGATTAACTATAAAAGAAACTTACATTTGTCTTTGTGTTGCTAATGTATATGGAAAATATAAATTTATCCCTAATCTCCACTTGTTTTCACTCAACTTCCCAGTTTCGCCGAGATATCTTCTGATTGTTATAGAGGACATTAATAACATTAAGACCTATTTAGATTCTGAAGTTCATGATATAGGACCAGCATTAATGGGTATTTTAGAATCGGCATAATTGTGATTGCAAAAATAGGGAAAGATGTAAAGATCAGAAATCTCGTGAAAAATATAGATGCTCTCAAATTCATGGCCTCACCTTTACCTTACGGTGCTTTGTACTGTTTCATATGAAAATGATTCCTTTGAAGCCACCTTTTTCATGCTGGTACCCCTTACCTCATCTGCAGTACTGCAGGAGTGTTGTCAGAAGCAGACTGATGAGCTAAAGAAAGAGTGTTAACCCTTTATACAGCTGTCTGAGCACATCGCCTGTCATCTGTGTGCCACATTTCCAAATGGGCAGTGCCTGGCAGCCCCAGATTCACACCCTGCCCCTGCCAACCACAGGACTTGGCCCTGAGCAGCAGGGCTTATGCTGCGGGAGGCTTTAGGGAGAATGTGTGGGATCGGGCATCAACCAGATGTTTGGGTTGCACCCGCCTCTTTCCATCTCCCTTAGCGACAACACAATTTCCATTTTAATTGATGTGCTCATGGGCGTTGGATGTGTCCCCACTGTGAAAAATGGTGCCAGGCACCACAAATGCAGTGCTTAGGCAGACATTTGTCAGTCACTTAGGGAGATGCCCCAGGTTTTTTCCTGCCCTAACAGTAAATTCTATAAGAAGGGTCAGGCCACTGTCATGCTTTATTCTGTTTTGTTTTCATTATATCATGGTTTTAACAATAAGGAAGTATATAAAGGACAATTACAGATAGTGGCGTGTACTTTTTATGGAGTCACAATGCACACCACTAACCTTAAAGCTAGAGTGGTACTCCACCCATAATTCACAGTATGTTCCAAGTTTCAAAAACTCATCTTCTATAGACTTGAAAGGTGATATATATGATTTGCCATTTTATATATATATATATATATATATATATATATATATATATATATATATATATATACATATATGAGATGCTGTTATCACTTGGAATCATGGTGGTTACGGTGGATTCCAATGGTGGCAATGGTGGAGAAATAAAGTATTAACACATCAACAGAAACTTTTCAAACAACCCATGCTGCAATGTCACTGCGGTCCATCTGTATCCTCCGTTGGTTTCAAATAATCACATTTAATTTTAGCAACACTATCAAGCTTACGAGCTGTAATGGTTCTAGGTTCATTCATGTTACGGCGATCATGTCCTGCCCATCCATTGGTCAAAACCACTCTAAACTATACTGGCTAGTTCCCACATTCAAGAATAAAGACAAGTTAACAAAATGTCATAAGGTGGACATAGCTATAAACCTTTTACAGCCACCTTTAAAGCCTTCATGGAGTGGGTGCTTTCTAATGTGCTGCACACAATAACATGAGGTCCCCAAATAATTTGAGTCCAGACTGAACGATTATATATTTTATATATATTATATAATTGATTACTCCATATCATGTTTGTTTTCTTTCATCACCCAGACACTATTTATCCCATAATTACTCTTCTGTGGAGTTCGGCACATTTGTAAACCATAGAATGACCTGGGTGCGTGTCATTTAGTCTGTGTTTGATTTCCTAGTTGTGGGATGTGGATCACAATTCTACTCAGTTTACGTAAGAGAGTATAACCATCCTCCCTTTTTGCCTTTAGTTGGAGGTAAACTGTCTGAAAATTTAAATCGTAAATTTGTTGCATTTTAGTCGAGCTGTCTCATGTATGTAAGATATCTAAATATTTTTGGGTTTGGGGTATTTTTTCACATTCTTTCCTTTTTTTCTGAGATTGAATGCTGTTCTAGTGTTAGATTTATATAAAATACATTTTGAGAATAAAACAAAAACAAAAATTTTTAAATTTTGATTTTACATGTGCCAACAACCTGTTCTAAAAGTGAAAAATAGAAACATGATGTAAACGAATAAGAGATTGATTTTCATGTAAGCATTCTTTCATGACCTTTAAAAGATATGGAGATCGATTATAGAGACCAGAGTTTGTAGTTCATACACAAAATATGGTTAAAATAAACTATTGTTGTTTTTCTGTATTGTCTGATTCTTGTTTTCATCCTGTGCCAGAGACAGACTGCTGATAGTTATACAGATATAGTATATATATAAGAGTATAACAATGGAAGGCTCACATTTTAGGAGACAAAGCTGTAGTAGAGTATGTTGTCTTTTTCCATCCATTGACCCGCTTATTTAACTTAATTTATTCATGCAAATTGATTATATTGTTAACTTTAATTATTATGATTCACGTATGACTGTTTCCATTTATCATCAAAATTAGGATGAAAAATAAGGCTCCTTGAGGATGTAATTCCATCTTTATGGCGTTCATGCTTTACAACAGCATTTTAGAAAATGTAGATTCATGGTAAAGATGAAATCATAATGCCTTCTTAACATGGATATAGCCATACAATGTAAAGTGTTCTTATATGGCATCAGTATAAAACCAGAATCAGTTCAGCAAGTACTATTAAAGTACAGGCATTCGTCTATGTACTCTTACAGCACGGTAGCAAGTACTGACATGCATTACCATGCAGGACATTGCATAGCTGAATACAAGACAATGTATGAATCAAATCAAATACATGCTGGTACATTCACTGTAGTATTCTGTCATTCTGTCATATTCTTAACTCATTAAGTGAAAATGATGTGTCTTTACATAAATCAGTGCTGCCTTATAACTTTCCAATGTAAATGATAATGATAGTACTTTGAGTATTGCTGTCCATAAAATGTTATTTTCATTATTTAACCCTTAAAATGGCTTGTAGAAAATGTAAGTGCTACTGAAAACAATTTGGCTTTCTGTGCTGTTACAATTAGATTATGCATTAATCTTAAGACAAACTGCAAATTTCAGTGGAGTAAGCATCAACAAAAATGTTCAATATCTACATTAATGTAAGGAATTCTCTAACAACACTTTGTGCAGATTGTTTAGTAGCTACCGTTGCACATGTTGTCCAGTCCATGTCTGTCGATTAACAGGACTATTATTGTAATATATTAACATTTCATTTACGTTGACAAGCAGAAATAATTCAGGAATAGGTAGTGATGTGACATAAATGACACTGATAATAAAGCACAACAGATGTTTACATGTAGTGAGGATGTATTCTTAATGTATTCTAAACATGTTACTTTTTTGGCAATTGTAATAGTCAGAATATGTTACTGATAACATTTAAGAAGAGTTATTCTTCTTTTTTAAGTTTACACTTCATAACAACTATTGAAATAAAATTTTGCTGACTTAGGTATTTTTCATACATAAGTCATTGCAACAGTAACAATATAGAGTACTACCATCTTGGTACCTGATTCCTTTAATTAATCTATATGTCTTACTCAAGCACTCAGAGTACACAGAAACATTATTGTTATCCTTATCCAAGTGACGCTATTTGCTCACATCTCTGCGTGATGCTAACTATCCATTAAAATCCAATCACTGTATTATTTTGTTAGCTTATAGAGAGCTGAAGTATATTAGTAAAACATCATGTGATTGGGATCTTATCCTGAGCAGATTCCAGCACAAGACAAACAAGATGATTGCACCTTTAATTCATTTCTCCATCATTATTATTCCAGTGCTGTTGTTCCACTTGGTAATTAGCCAAATGAAATAAGATTGTGATCATCATGTGAACATAGCAGTCATATCACAAAGTAGAGTAAACATTTTGTCCCAAGAGGGATGACATCCCCTTTGGACCAATCAGTAGCAAGTACACAATGGTTGACGTGGTGGATTGATCAGTGATTGTGAAATGTCTAACAATCAGAGAAATAATCAATTATAGTGCCCCTGTTTTTATTGAGAGACGATAAATCAAAATTGAAGTTTGAACCAATAGAATTCAAATGTATCCCAGACCAACATTATATGTGGCTATAATGTATCAGTCAAACTAAGTATAAATATAAAAAGGTCTATGTGATGTGGGAATACAAAGCTGTTAACATTAGTACAATACTTAAAGTGAGGAGAGTATACTGCATGACATTTTTTGTATACTGAACCTGCTTAGAAATACATCTGTAATCAGATAATTAACTAGTATCCACTATTTCAAAACACTGCAAAACATGCTGTCGCCACGCACTGAAACTAAATGTGTTTTTTGTATAATCCTGAGAATAAAACACAGCATATTTCGGCATTATAATTTATCTCTGATATGAGCCAGACTTTGTATACTCTAACATTGTGTAGACCCTACATAACATGGCAACAAGATGCTCAACAGCTCTACATGTTAAACTAATTTAAAAGTTTGCCTTTAAATAACTATCCATCCAACCTCTTCATTAGCCGATCACAAGCAAGCTAAAGCATTCATCTACTTCTTGAGGAAACATTGCATTATAATGTATAATGCCAAATGGTGTGCTCTTTCAAGTGTGTGACAGGTTGGTTTTCATAATAGTTGCCTATTCAAAACACAGCCCAGGGCCTGTTCCGCTGGCTCCTCACTAATGCACCATTAAACTCCTCATTTTCTTATTTATTCTGCTCCTGAGGCTCGGGAAAATTAATGGGTGCTTAATGCCAGTGTACTGTTTGGTATGCTAGTGTTTTTTTGCGTACACTATTTGAGTATGTCATGGAAGAAAGTCTGCAGTGACAGAAAGAGCTAAGGAGTAGTTAGTTTAGCTAGTTATTTCCTCTATTCACATCCTGTTTAGACTCTATATATACTGAGTATATATATCAGGTTTTCGGGACCTGCAAAATTTTACCCACATTTGTACTTAAACTGCTGCCCTGAAGTAAAAACGCATCTTTATAAAAACAAAGAACAAAAATTCTCTAGGAAATAAGGCAGCTTGTTTGGACAGAGAGCACAAAAACCCATAGGAGACCAGAATGTTTTCTGGTAAGGTTTTTATGCCAAGGAAAGCTCTACATTCATAAACATGTAAGCCAAAACCTAGAAAGAGAGAAAAAGAGCAATTTTTATGTTTAATTTATTTGATGATGTGCCCTTATTCACAGCCTCCTCTGCCCTGGGAGCTTGAGCAGCCAGATGCCATGAAATGACAGTCCCTCTTTCAAGGTCAGTAGCTGCCCTTTTCTGTCAAATACTGATAGACAAGCCCAAAATAAGCTCAAAGAAAAGTGTTTTCTACATCATCTGGGAAAAGTAATGCCATTAGCATGTACTGTACAGTATACCAAAGGTTACACATTGTAGTCCCATTGAGTGGAGTAGGGACCTAAGATGATGTGAACATATGTAGCCATGTGAACCAGGGGTACAGAGTTAAATAGTGTTATGTAGGTTATAATGTTATGTAGTTGCTGGTGGGATTACTGTAGCGATAACTGTCCTCTGTATTCAATGGCACTGTCGCTTTAAGAGTTCTACATGGGACGGCTCGCACGCAAGAGGGTAGAGTTCCGATGGGACACAGGGGAAAACTGAAGTGTTTGGTCCCGCGATGTAGAGAAACGGCAACGGATGTACTTTAGTTTATCAATATGGAGGATATCTCCATAACCCATGGTAAAGTACAGTAATAATATTAAAGATCTGCAGACGAAAGAGTTAACTAACTAACGTAGCGACCAAGGTAGATGCAGACCTGGGTGTCCCAGCTGATTCCTCACGATTGATATCCTACTGAATGTGTGTGTGTATCTTCGAGGGGAAGATACTCTGACCAGCGGCGGCAGCGGGAGTGACAATGATGTGTATTAACAAACAAAAATCACATTATATTAGTGTATACTGAAGCTGTAAATAAACAATGTTTGTTTCATATTTTTCCGCTGACTTAGAGGGAAGATACACGTGCGGAGTTACTGGTGTGTGTGTGTGTGTGTGTGTGTGTGTGTGTGTGTGTGTGGGCGCACACTGCACAGTAGAACGGTGA